TTTTTTCATTTCAGTGCCAGATCATGAACGATCCAAGGTGAACCTTGGCAACTTCAGGGAGTTACTAATGGAAGCTGGAGAAGAGAAATCAAAGAAACCAGAAAATAAGGAACGTGAATTCCCGTATCTGGCGAGCAAACTTCCTCAGTCGACGCTGAAGAACTTCGACTGGTTCGAGGAGAGACGCATTTTTAAGAAACTCTGTCGAGGAGATCCTATGCCACACGTAAGCCATTAAACCGAAACACTTCAGAAACACAGTAAGAGTAATATTCACTGTTAACTTGCAGTTAGATAGGTCGTTTGTAATGAAAACGAGGCGCGGTGTCCTGGTGGGTAGATCGTGTGTTTCAGTCCTTGCATTGCATATGACCGGTGCGCGTGAAATTTGAATTGTCCAGGAAGAACTGTGCTGTCCTTTCGCCAATTGTATGTTAACAGGAGAGGTATATCGTATTGAACTAGGGCAGCGTTTGTCACTGGAGACGGCACTGAATATTCCCGAAAAGGGATTTATAAGATTTTTAAAAAATTACGTATCAGATTATAAAAAGTAAAAAAATAAAACATTTTGTGTCCCCAAGCTTCTAATTTGGCGCCAAAAAATAGGTCGTTTGGGTCTGGCAACTTGCTCGTCGCTCTTTTAGTGTCGCCAGGTAGGTCAAGAGCTGTGTTATTTTGAACAAAGTATGTTGCTCTTCGTCAAAATGATTAAACCCAGAATGCTAAAGTTAGGTAGTAGAAGCATTTTCTTTATTTTTGTTAGCTGCGAAGAAAAAGACTAGTACCGTGTCATTTCGGTAGGACAGCTCGGTTCTGACTGCCGATCGTACTGCGGGCGCAGCCACCGCATGCAAGGTGAAGTGGAACGGTTCCAGTGCCTAGTTGGAGTCGCTGTGTTGACCTTACATGTGTCTATGGAGAATACTCTCATTTCGCGGTGATTCCCTTTCTACATTGGTTCAAAAGTTTCAATTGGCACCAACAAATTGTCGGTCAGGATGGGAAAATGCTGATTAACTAGTATCCAATTCAGGGGTGGGGGGGAGGGTAGGTAGTAACACACCCGGTCGCCTCATGCTTCAGAGATCGATCGAAGTTGGCTTCTTTGAACTGATCAAGATTAGCATTGGTTCACGATTTAAGGTGTTACAGTGTAGTTTGTCATAATTTCAGATTCCAGAGCAAAGTTTGGATAATTCAGTTCTCGATTTAAGGTGTTAGTTGTTGCAATGGCAATTGTTACAATTTCAGATCTTTACCCGTTACGTACACGATTCGAAAAGCAAATCTGGTTAGAGCTTATATTTAAACAAGATACTTCTTTAAAGAATATATCTGAAGTCTTTTTACCCCGTCCAAAGTCACTCCTGTTTTTAGAGTGGACTCCTGTTACTCCGGCTTAGAGTTTGGTTACTTTCCAGTGCGAGATCGAGACCTAAATATCTAAATGGGGCTCCACGTTATAAATATATATTAAGGGTTAGGGTTGGGATGGTTATGGATGGCTGTAGACTTGTGCCAACGTACCTTACTGGCCTACGTTTTGTTTGGTCTTTGCATCAGGCGCCTCAAAGCCCAGAGAGACTCAGGTGTTACTACAAGACAGGCCATCCTCTTTGTACCATTAAACGGTGTCCCATTGAGGTGGTCTTTACAAACCCGGACATCATGATCCTGCGCAATATAATGAGTGATGCTGAAATCGACAAAGTTATAAAGATATCAAAACCTTTGGTAAGGACGCTCTTTTACTTAACATTTAATTTCCTTTAGAGTTCCTCTGCGGAACTTGTTGGAGACAGACAAAAGTGCAGTTGCAACATGGTCTTTTGAGGAAAGAAACTTTACTCCCTGATATAATTATGTTACTATTTTTTTAGCTCAGTAGAGCAACTGTTCATAACCCAATAACGGGACAGCTGGAGTTTGCACACTACAGGATAAGCAAAAAGTACGTAAGTTAAAAAATATATATCAGTTAAATCAGTAACTAAAAGTTTTCTTTTAAAAAATCATTTTTTTATAAGTAAAAGAAAAGCGAGCAGTTATAATTAAAGTGGTGATACTAAAACAAAAAAAAAAAAAA